AATATTTTTCATCTGCCTTTGAAACAACATATTAGGAGCCTTCTATTAAATTTTCAAGCTTTCGCAACCAACAAATAAAATTTTATTGATATTTCTAGAAAAAAAACTAAAAAAAAATGAAAAATGAAAATGTCCCTAAACAGTTCAAAATAAATCAAAATATTTTGAAAATGTTATCGTGTATAGAAAATGCAAATATAAACAACCAGTGAAAATTTCATGTATCTACGGTCATTTGTTTTAAAGTTACACCAAAAACCAAATTCGATTTTTTGGAAAATCGATTTTGCGTAAAAATTCCCGTTTTTCCTTAATTTTTATGTTGTTTTTCCCGGCGCTTGTGAAAACTACTGGAAAATGTTTACTTTTGACCCCCCAAAGTACCAACTAGATTCACTTTCCTATCAGAAAAGGTACTATTGAAGAAAATCGAAGCACTTTTACTGTCCCAAAACGTGATGACAGACACAAAAATATAAAAATATAAAAATATAAAAATATAAAAAAAAACATACATCATTGTAAAACCAATACATTCATCGCTCCGCTCAGAATCTAAAATTAGGATCGGTGTGGTTTCAAAAAACTACGTTGAATTCAAAGCGTATCATCATTTTTACGTACTTATTTTTGTCTAATAATATTATACCTTTGTGGAACTGGCAGTGAGATGCCGTCATTATCCACAAAGCAGTAACTCAAAAATACGTTTAGGAAACGATAAAACAAATTTCCACACTAAATTAGTCCATAGAGTAAAAATAATATTTTTTTAAACATTAATGAGATGGTATTTTATTGTATTTTTCATGAGGAAACTATTGAACACACAAAAAAATGTATTGAAACATTTGTAAGGGTTTTAATGAATTTACTGCATATTATGTTAAATATTATTATGGTCCTTAATAGCTTACTGAACAATTCTAAGAATCTGAACATGGATACCTGATGATATTGTTAAAGGATAAGCGTGCTCGGTGAACCACTCTGTATATGATATTTTCAGCAAACAAATTTTTTATGGCGCGCGTTACGCATACGTATTATAATACCTAATACATTGTCGTTTCGTATTTAGTATATGGAAAAGATAAAAATTGTACGCCGGTGAATAATGTTTGTGTCAGACCATATTATAAAAGCGTCGTTTTTTGACAAATAGGTCGTAGATTGATCGGTGAAATGGAACTAACCACACACCGTGCGAGCCATCAAAACTCTATACATTATACAGGGTGCAAAAGAGACCATCCGCCGCGGCTTAATGTAACACGTGGGCTCGCCTTATTTCGCAGTGTCCCGCAATAAAAATCTATATTTTCATGCACGCGTGTCCTATATAAAAAAAAAAAGGACGACTGTATAGTTAAGTCGTATACCTATGTAATAATATTCTATTATATTACACCCTGAGCTGATGCTGAATATTATAATAATATTATATTCATAAACTGCAATAAAGTCGAACACACATAATATTATTATAGTCTCGTGGGTACGAAATGAACTCGGTGTGTGCTGATGACGAACTCGTAAAGCCGAAAAGTTATATAGTCTTCTATATATATATAAATAATAAAAAAAAATGTGTCGAGTATAACGCTGCAAGTTTGTTTCTCCTTCCACCGAGTCTAGCAATAACGATACCGTGGTACGTGGTGTATAAATTCCATGACGTTTAAAAACGTGGTCGATTCGCCCTAGTAATATTATGTAAATAATGCAATGCGGCTGTCTGCTGCATAATCACCATTAGCTCCCCTCGAAATAGTTGCAATAATAGTGAGTTGCATAATTAACGCTTTTATGTAGTACAACAGCAGTAAAATGGATACTACAGATGTCAAGACAGTGACCCTTAATTTATGTCCGTCTTTAATATTAGAACACGTTTCTTCGTAATATGTTTACAATGAAAATTGTGTTTACGACTTTGGCCTTCGGCTTTCAGCTGTCTATTACACGTATATAATTCTAAGTTTAAAACCAACCACCACAAATGACGTGACATCACTCGAGTAAAAACCATTAAAAGCAGCGCACTGATAATGGTCTATACCTCTACCTACCAACATAAAGTAAAGTCGAACACACCCTCGTGGTAGATGTACGCACGTACTATATCGTTTAATTTGTTACACAAAACTATGATAAATTATTAACAATGTACGGTAGTCGACAAGCGCTTAATTTCAATTTCATTCATAAACGACGATACACCCCTGGGTATAATAATTGTTCGATGTGTACACAATATTATAATATTAAAATAACAATAACAGAACATTCACGAAGACGTGAATATAGGCGGTAGAATTTCAACACCGGCCGTGCACATTAATACAACCAATTAATAATAAATTTAGCAAATTATTAGAGAACAAATTGAAATCAAGTGCACACAAACTTTCGGGCTGCAGTGATAGGTATGAAAATATGGTATTATAAAATTACTTTTTGTCGTTGGAGGCGCACTGTTTTCTAACGTTGCAGAGTCTATGTGCTTTTATATCAACCAAGATGTACGTGGCACATTAGTGCACCACAGTTCCTATTCAAAGTATAATACTATAATCTCTCTCGCCCGAAATATGCGATTTGTTAACAAATTTGGATTAATCTGTTTATTTTCCGCCCATGTGCTTTGTTTATAAATACAAAATAAAAAATTCATATAACATAGCTTTCAACCCTACATAAATATAAATTTGAGGGAGAAAATAACGAATTCAAAAATTAATTTGTTTATTATATTTTACAATATGCTTATTATTACTATTACTATTTAACTTGATATTTAATTAAAGTTGTTTAAAATACATACTTAAAAAGTACTTTATTGTTTTATCATACTTTGGGCTTCTCCTCCGGTATTTTCGAAAAATAAATAAATATTTATAAAATGTAAAAGTCTTAAAGTATTACACGTATATAATATTAAAGTTGAACAAGCTAATTGTACACGTCATCCTTGGTGTTGATTATAGAGTCACAAGGTCAATCTTAATTTAGTTTGAGCTCGGAATTATTATGATATTATCATAAACAACAACAACAACAACAACACTGACTTTCAGTGTTGCGATTTGCGATCATATTATAATTTATATTATTCCTACCTATTAGATTTACAGAATAGCCGATCGGGCGAGTGGCGACTGTTGTACCTATACTGGCGAGCATAAATTAAAACTAAACCTAGATTACGCCGCCTAGTCCTCCGGGTATCCGTGGTCCGTGATGGTAATGGAAGCACAGTTGGTACATAAATCCGACACAGTGATGCATAATACAGAATGCATGTGTAATGCGGCGGTCCATAAAATATAAATTTAGAGACGGTTCGAATGACGCTCTCAGGACAAAAAAAAAAAAAACCAGCGAAACGCGTTGTTATACTTACATAGGTTAGGTTATGGATTTAGGATGTCCAGAAGATAGAAAATTGAGCAATTTTTCGGTTCAAAAAAATAATTTTATTAAATACACTACATTAGAAACACATAGGTGCAACACGGATACCTTGTGGATGGAAACGTCCAATCTTTTATATATTTCACGTATTTAGTGACGGATTCTGATTTAAATATTATGATACGCACACTGGGGGAGTAACACGAGTTGTAGCTGGTATAATATACATTATACGAATTGATTATAAAATATTTTTTAAGCATACATTATATATTTTTTTAATGCATTTATTTATACTTCCATTACACTTTTAACACAGTTGGGCTAATTCTTATCGGAGTCGATAAAATGTGTTCTCAACACAAAAAGTTTTCAAAACGATAATATTTTTATGCCTCGTTTAAAATATTCATTTAAGACTATAGAGTTCCGTTACAATATTTATTTTCATAAGTCCCATAAGGTCTTGTACCTCTCTCTTATATCTATACATCCAAGCTAGATTTATACAGTATTTAAAAATTTCACGATCAATTTCATGTTGGTGTAAAAATAACAAGAATGTTAAAACACCTGTGAATAATATACTTATACTTTTCCATGATAAAATAAATATATCATACCAACAGATTTATGAATAAAAAATGTTAATTTACTTAATAGGATACAAAATATGTTTAAGCTCTAAAAACTTTACGGATTAAAATATTTTATAAGACTAAAAAAATGTTGAGGGAACCATTTATTAAATATTACATTTTTGAATTTTAACACTTAAAAACATACTATGAATTGTTAATTTTTTATGAAGTCAATTTAAATTTCAAACACATTTAAATTTAATAACAACGAACGTCTTACAGTGATAATCAACACGACTACCATTGTTGATTTAAAATACTATATTATTCAAAACAATCCCTGAAAACAAACAAAATGATTCTTTTCATAAAACAATTTAATATTATTCTATTTCTACTTTAGCATATCAAACAAAAAAAGTAGATAATATTATTTATATTTGTACTACACATAGATACTCAAACATAAAGTGTATACATTATAATATTGTAATTTATCAGCCAAGTTCCAATGAAATTATTGTACTTTTTGTTACAGCTATAGCTACGTTTACTGTCTATATTTTTTAAGCTATTAACTAATTTAGAGTTATGTTTGTTAAATAAACTCGATTTAAATGTTTTAATTATTTACACACACGTTTATAATATTATAGAACTAGAGTTTAGTTAAGACCTTAAAAAGAATATATTTTAATAGGTACATATTATTTGATTACCATTTGGTGGAATTACGATGACGACTGTAAATTATTGTCTATAAATATATTATACATCTATTCGAGGAGTGGTAGAGCTGACTTTATTACTATTGTGGATTTATTATTTAGTATTATAAACTATAAAGTCATAACTCATATATTATTAGCATATATTTTTTTCCTAAATCCGGAGAATATTTTTTTTTAATAATCCGAAGACCTTATCATAATGATTTATATCCGGCATTACAATAAAGTTTTTTAATATTTAATACGGATGTCACGAAATTATTTTCCACAGAAACAATACACTCTGCTTATGTGCGCGGCGAGAAACAACCGTCTGTCGGTCGTCAACTTCCTGTTGGACACCATCGAGGACGTCGGACTGGACGCGTTCGACACGGACCATCAGACGGCACTGCATCATGCGGCGATCGCAGGACACACGCACGTGGTCCGGAGGCTAGTGCACGCCGGAGCCAACACGAGCACCACGAACAAGGTATAAAAAATTGTCTTTACTGCAGGCTCTTTGGAATCTCAATACGTCTCGTGAATTTCCTGGTGCAGTTTTTTCACTCTGTCATATCTCGAAACACACTCCCCTCCCATCCCAGCATCTACTGCACCATGTTAAAAACTTTATTTGTGCAAACAATCTGATTTTCTCCACTGTGTCGATGTGTTGAGTTTTTTTTATTAATGTCTTACTCTTAAAACGCAACTATTATATGATGTGTTTATATTGTTATAGTTTCGTAAATCCTTATTTTCTTATACATATTATACAACCACCAGGATATAGAAACGGGTTCGGTGGTGAGGGGCAAGTGGCCACCCACCGGCCACCGCCATCATACTCACAAATACGATTACCCATTTATTTAAAAAAAACTTATATTTACTTATACAATACCCAATAATAATATTATATCAATATATTAATACTGTAGCTGGCCTATCAATGGTTTTTTTTTGTATACGAATTGCCAATAAATAAATTATAAGAACAATAATATTATGCGATATTTTTGTAGGTAATTAAAAATAATCAAGGAAAATATTTGTACGATATACCACAATGTACACTTTTCAAATAAATGAATCCTTTCAGATCTTCACTCTGGCCCCTTGTCTGTAACCTTATATGGTAAGGTAGGTATTATATGCCTGTGTGTTATCATCTACACCAGCATAATCGACCAATACTGTTTGATAACTGTTACGTCGTTACGAGATAATAATATCATCGAGTTCAATAATATTTCGTTCTTTAAACAAACATAACGTGAGACGCTATATAGAATGCTCTGAGTGGTTGCCCACTTTAGCCGTCACGGTTGCTGTATGCTTCACTCCTTATATCCTATTTTCGACCACAGTTGAGTGACAAACACAGAGACAAAAGACATTTTGCGAAAGTCAGTACCTAGGTATTGGTCCTCCGAAGAAACTTACGCGAGTGGCCAATATACTCAAATACATAATATTATCGATATAGTCGTCATCGCCGTTGTTGATATTTTGTATTTCACTGTAATACGGTTATTTTTAAAACGTCGGTCCCGTAAGCTCAAAAAATGAACTCTACGCCTGCTGTATTAATTTTTAAAAATGTTCTCTAGATGATCACCGCGGTCCACGGGTGAACCGTCACTTATAAATAAATTAGTGACCGCAAATGGTACGAAAAAGTTTTAGAGACCGCAAAATATGTACCTATGCATCACGGTACCACATAGATTTTACGTTGCGGTCGTGACGGTTCGTATCGCTATTATATTATTATCTCCGTTCGGTGGACTTTTGCGCGCATTTCTCTACGTTGTTTAGTATCGTAGTAACTGATGAGTACGGTATATTTTATGCTATACCCTGGTCACTAAACTTAATGATTCGCGTAGAAAAGTCATGAAACTGATGGATATTAAAATAACTTATCCGATCGAAAAAAAAAATAATGGCTACGAGCACGCTATGCGGTGGCGATTATACGATAAGTCTGTAAAATAATGCGTATGAATTGTTGAACGGCAAAAGTCACTCGATATCGTTTTATAAATCTCGTGGGACATGATTTATCCCAAAAAAAAAAAGAAAAAAATGATGATAATATTAATATACTTTGGAGGTTCAGTCGGATCGTTGCCGTGGCCCTATGAGTATATTATAATGCTATTATAATAAACGCTGTTCGAGATAGCGTAATGCACAATAAAGGTATTGGTTTGTAATATTTAGGTCTTGTTTATAAAAAAAAATATTCATAAAAGCATTTCTATTATAAACATCAATCATAATTTACACTACTTCAAAAGATTCACTATAATACATTCCATTTTATTATATATTAGAATTTACATTCATAAACTCCTTATGGCATGTGCATTACCCTGATTATAATATCTTCTATCATGTTCAAATAAATATTTCGTATCATGAATTTGTTATCACTCTTCTGGGTAAGTTTAAAATTGATTTTAGTTGATAAATGTCTCGGTGAACTTCGCAGTGCCGTATACTTTCCTACACGAATATTAGTATAATATGCCATATAAGATGTGTACCTATGCTATGATGTCATACTTATTTTATTATGACAAATACCTATTCAATATAATATTATGTGCTGTACATGATGTATAAACAAAAAACCACTCCATCATAATATATAAATTTGAAGGGAAACTAATAAACCGTAGGTATCTAATATCTATACCAGCCATACCATTTTCAAACAACATCTTAAATATAGGCACGTAAATACATAATAAATTAGGTACAATGAGTATTTATATTATATTACTAATTCCAGTAAACACACTTTCAGTGGGACCTATTTCAAAAAAGATTATTTTAAAAACAAAAATGTTAATTGTATATATTTATTATTAATCAACGCCAAATAGAAATTTTCAATAAGCAAATACCCTGCAGCAAGCATTGTAACAGTGGATTAAGTGTTATAAAGGAAAAACAAACCTTAGTAATAACTGCAGATTTTAAGTAATCTCTTACAAATACAATAGGTAGTATTAACTATAAAAATACGTATTCACTGAAGAATAATGATATTGTACATTTTTAATAGATAGTTCTTTGAAAAAAGTATTTGAGTTGTTACATAGAATTAATGTTTATTTTTTTTTATGTACATCACAAATAATATTGTTAGGTACCTATGTTTTAAAATAAATTATTGAGTGTAGCCATACAAATAAACAATTATGCGTTAAATATTATTTAAGTACATAATATAATATTACGTTTATGAACTAAGTGTGAATATTATATCATGGTGTTTAATAAAACATTAACAAATTGTAGACACCATATTAAACAATATTTACGTGACATTTAATTTAACTACCGGACGTCCAGTAAAATAAATAAAATATAAAATAAAATGCACTTGCATCCCAAATACTGTTATAGTGTTATGTATTACTTCCTATTATGTTATACATTTTTTTTTAAAACACACTATATAATAATATAATATAATATTACTGTATTTTGATTGGCAACATAATTATTTCTGTACCCTACAGGCTACAAGTAGTGACTATTCGGGGAGTAAAAAAATAAAAATATAAAAGCAAGAGTTATCCAAAACCAAATATTATTTAAATTTTGTTCAAATTTCCATGTTTACGTAAATAATATATTTTTTTACTCGATAAATAATATTTAATGGAATTCCATCACAAAGAAATACTAATACATAATTTAAATGTCAAAGAAAGTCCTAAAATTTACATTTTTGTTCAATATTTTAGTGCAATATAATATATTAATACCACAAGTATAATAGTCGTACGGTGTCGTTACGACCATAGTTTTATATAGTATTCGGCTGGTGCGAATTACATCAAAATAACTCTAGAATAATTAACATATTTTACATTCATATGTTATTATTTATTAATATTTTTTTTTATAATTAAATTTATATTAATACTATTGTACATGATATTCTCACATTTCTTTTTTCATGTTGTTATAATTCGACTTGCAGACGTATATTATACATCACAAATGAACGTTTGAATTGGAATTTATTACTTAGTGCTATTATAAGGTTGATAGGATAACATCGAATAAAGTTTTTGTTTTTTTTCTTTAAACATTACTAAAATACTTATCGTTTGAAAAAAAATCCAGTGTATTGATTGATACTATACATCAATAATGCATACGCAATATGAATCAAAACGAAGATCGATAAGACTGTACAGTGTACAATATACAGGGGGGGCTACGGGAATAGGGACAAAAATAGACTGGTTTTTCTCAACGTTTAATGTGAGTAGGAAGGTCTACATAAGCTCATTAGATCCGTCATTGATCAGTTATTGTTATAGGACTTTTGGGACCATTTGTTTTTTTTTTTTATTAACTGTCCCCGTTCGAAAATTTTCTACCCAGCTCAAAATTGTTTTCCCACCGAAAATAGCACCTCGACGTCCGACGCTTAAGTGAAGTCTGAATGCCCGCTACACCTTAACTACTGATTCATTGTTTTTCACAAACTCGTCGTACGCAAACACACGGTGAACTACACTCCACTGAGCTATAGTGACAACTTCCTATTCACAATCAACGTTGAGAAAAACCTGTCTATTTTTGTCCCTATTCCCGTGGCCCACTCTGTATAACAATATCGTATGAAAATATTGTAGGTATACCTATCTACTTTATTTAATCTGCATAATTAAAATGATATTCCATCGCCGAGGTCACAATTCAATAATATCATACAAATAGGTACGGAATAATCATAAAACGTAGGAATTCGGTGGCATTATTAAGTACCTACCTATAATATACCTATACAGCGGAACCTTTCAGACTTCACTAAGATTCAAATTTGATTTATACTACTACTTAGAATCATGATGTTATAGAATTCATCACGTAAATAAGTAATAACCAGCAATGTTGTACATAATTTATGATGCAAGTCAGTGTAGTTATTGATTATTGAGTAAACATTCTCCGATATTATACAGTTAATTATTACGAAATAAATAATTATTTTATTAAGACACTGTATTAATAAACGAAAAATATATTTTATTATAATATGTGTATGTATTGTTTTTTTTCAACCCTTTCAGCCCCCATGTACCTACATTATTACACATTATTATGTTGGATGGTAAAATAATGGTAATATCTACGTGCTTTTTTCGAGGGTTCAATGAATTGGTAATCGTGTACGTATAGAATAAGAATTCAATTTCATTTTGAAAATGTTTCGCAAATATATACAAGCATAGTACCTACCATTTTTTTTATTTTGTGTGCCTCCGTCGTACATGCATATATAAAATGCTTACTAAATTTAGTTTTGTTTGAAACGTAAATTAATAAAATATAGTAAATAACACAGAGTATAAGGTAGTTCATGTGAGTTTAACATTTTGCAATAATCAAATCAATTCTTATTACGGTTTATTAAATAAAAAAAATAAAATTTTCAAATTACTTACAAGTAGT